GGGTGGGCGCTGGCGGAGCCAGAGGCTGGGACGCGGGGCTCACCGCGGGGCCCGTGGGGTGGCTGCCCGCCCGGCCCCTGTCCTCTGCTTCCCGGATCCGGCAGCCCCCCCGCCGCCCTCCGCAGGGCTCTCGTCTAGGGCCTGTCCCGGTTTACAAGGCTCCGGCCAGCCCTTCCCCAGTACCCTGTACAGGGCAGGCCGGCTGTTCCGGGCGTCTGCGAACCCCGCAGGGCCAGGCCAGCCCTGTGCACGCCCTCCCCCCAGCCTTTTCGCCAGAACCTCCCCCGGGTGGATTTCAGCCTCAGGGTTTTGCTTAGAAGGGATGTGAATAGAAGTATTTAATCATTAAATATACGCGTGTGCCATTCGTTGTGCTGGCTGTGCGTCCCAGTGAACGCCTGCCCTCTTGCCAGGGCTGCTCCTTCCCCGCTGCGGGGTTCTCCTGCCTCCTCTCAAGGCCCCGCCCCTCCCTCCTCTTCTGTGTCTCCGTCCCATCCCCCCAGGTCCGATGACCTCCAGCCTCCCCAGGGCAGCCTCTTCTCACGCGGTCTCTGCCCATTCGCCCTAACTCCCGCTGACGTCTGTGCATGTCCCATGAGGCTCAGCCTCCTTCCTGGGCCTGCACCCAGGCTGACTGGTGCCCACTGCCGTTTCTTTTTCTGTTTTGGAGACGAGGTCTCACGTGGTCACTCAGGCCGGAGTGTAGTGGTACTGGCACAGCTCGCTGCAGCCTTTAACATTTTATTTCTGTGGCGACAGGGTCTCACTGTGTTGCCCAGGATGGTCTCGAACTCCTGGCCTCAAGCAGCCTCCTGCTTCGGCCTCCAGCCCCTGCACCCAGTCCCGGATGCCATTTCTTCGGCACGTCATTGAGCGTGGCCCTGTGCCAGGCCACACGCTCGGCCCCTCTGCCCCTGTCGGTGCTGGGCCACCCTCCACCTGCCCAGGTCTGATGCCTGGGCCTCTCTGGCTCCTCTCCTTCTGGCACAAACACCCTCCTCACTGGCCACAGCTGGCGGGAAGTGCGTGTGGCTGGACACTCACGCGGGAGGACAGGCCATGGCAGAAGCTCTTCCCAGGTGACGAGGTGCCCGGTTCAGGGTTTGCCTGCCGGGCCGTGTGCTTGTCTCCCTGGTCACAGGGGCTGAGCGTCCTTGGCTGGAGGAGAGGGCATTCCCCACCACGCTGGCCACAGCAAGCCTAGATTCAGCAAGGGCCAGTTTCCAAACAGGGCCAATCAGAGTTCTGCCCTGAGGCTGACACAGACCCTCAAAGATGTTGGCTCTTTAACTGAAGATGGCTGGCAGACACCCTCCCTGCCTCCTCAGAGGCCTGTCTGCAGTAAAGGAGGCCAAAGAGAAACAGACTTGAAAATGAGGTGGGGGAATGACCTGAGCACAGTGCTTGAGTGCCTGGATCTAGCCACACCTGACCTCCACCCCATTCTTCCCAGTGTCCTGAGCCAGTAAATCCCCGTTTTTATGGCTGCCATGGTTTTTCTGGTCACTTGCTGCCAAAGACTCTTTGCTGATCCCAGTGTGGATGCCACGTGGAATCAGTGTCTCTCCGCCCACTAGAGTAAGAGCAGGGTTGGCATGGAGACCGTCCTGCCAGGAAGAACCAGGAGCGCAGGAAGGCGGCCGGCACTGCCAGTGTGGTGGGAAGCACCCAGGATCGAGGGACCTGAGCTGGATGCCAGCACTGCCGTCTGCTACCAGCAAATCCCGCCCTCTTCAGAGCCCGTTTGCCGCCGCACGCACAGGGTGTGCGGAGAAACCGAGGACCAGACCCGCGTGCAGCCTCTGGTCCTAGTGAGGCCTGGGTCCCACGCGGTGTCTGTCTCGTGGCCGTCATGCCCCCGGCCTGTGTGGCGCCTTTTCCCCTTCCCCGCTGCGTCCCCCAGGGCTGGCGGGTGATGCCTCAAGACATCTGGGTGGCAGGGTCTCCGGTTTCCGGTCCTCCCCCAGGGAGGCCTCGCTAGGAAAACGTCTGCAGAGGCTGCTTGACAAGGGTCCTGCAGTTGGGCCCGGACAGGGTAGGCCTCCCCAGGAAGGAAGAAGGTATCCAAAGCAAAACGTCACCTGGCCCGCAAGTGTGACCCTGCTGATGGGAGCCGCAGACCCCAGCCCTTCCAGGGGCCGGAACAGCCCGAGGTGAAGCCATTTGATGGGCACCACTGAGGGTGCCCTGCTGTGACTTCCTTCCGGTGGGAGGGACAGGCAGTGCGGCACAGGCTGGAGCCCATCAGCCCTGGGGCTCATGGCCCTGTGTTTCTCAGTCTCTTCTCTAAAATGGGGGACTTGCTGGGCATGATGTCTGACACCTATATTCTCAGCACTTTGGGAGGCTGAGGCAGGAGGATTGCTGGAGGCTGGCCTGGGCAGCAAACCGAGACCCTTGTCTCTGCAAAACATTTTATTTAAAGTGGGAAACTGAGCCGGGCTCAGTGCTCAGCCTGTAATCCCGCGCCTTGGGGAGGCTGAGGTGAGTGGATTGCCTGAGCCCACAGGTTCGAGATCTGCCTGGGCAACTTGGCGAGACCTCATCT